ACGCGCTCTTCTACGTTTTCCGAAAGCAGAAGATGTGCGTACGCTAGGTACATACTTGCTATGATCGTGACGAGACATCTATGGAATAACTCATTTCACCTTTTTCAAGTATTTTGTCAAGTGACTGCCTGTCCCACCCTCTGAATCTGCATGACCCACTGGCTCACAAATATCCTACGTGATTCTGGTGATACCGAGCAGTCGAGGCAGCCAGTATCCGTCCCTGAAGTACACAATTCCTACGCGTACTGGATCTTCAAGAATCAAAAGGGAGTATATTGATTGCACGTTGACGATTTATTGGAAGGAGGAATGTGAACAATCGCCTTTTTTATGAGAATTTGGTTTACTTATTTTCTTTTGGTTTTGGGTGATTAAGCTTGAATGAGAGCTGCTGGTGATTAAAGTGCAGAGGAATCTTGGCAATTTGCCAAGTGCCTAGTGTTATTTCACTCCATTTGTATGGGTTCCTTGTGAAACTTCTCGAAGCACAATTCAACAAGTTAACGCTGGTGTCAGAGTCCGCGATCCGTCGCAGGTTTCGCTGATTTTCGCGATTTGCGCGAAACCTGCGACGGATCGCAAAAATTGCAAGTGCCCCATTTCATTTGAAACACTGAATATGAAACAAGTGGAATCATGAGCAGTCGTCATTCAGCCATCACTATCAAGCAGAAGTGGCGGCAGGATTGGAGAACACCTTGCAGTATTGATCGGGCACTTGTGATTTCCGTGACCCGTCGCGTGAATCGCGTGAATCGCGCAAATCGCGAAAATCAGCGAAACCTGCGACGGATCGCGGACTCTGACACCAGGCCTAAGGCTGACACGTACTGGAGGGGGGGGGGGTGGAGAGAGTGCTCAAACATAGCCCAACTTATTTCACATTCTCAGCATCTGAATTGCACTTACTTTACGCTGATTTAGAATTCAGTAGAACATTAAGAGGATTTTAGGTCATCTAACTTGTTGCCATTCCTCGAAAAGTTGTACTCGATAGTTGTGCGCTGGTTTTTCTCGTATAGGGAAAATGATGTTTAGGAAATTTAGAAAAAAAATTATAATAGATTTCAGATTTGTGTGATAGGAGTCACTAACTTTACAGGTATAATTTTAAGAAAGAAAAATGCAAGAGGAAAGTTGTATGCAGGAGAAGAGGAATGCAACAGCACCGAGTGAGGAGCACATGACTGAATCGACCGCTGATGAAATGCCCCGCGATTCTGCCAAACACACAGCTGCGTCATGATTCAAGTGTATTTGCTTTTTCTCTCTATTAAATATTGATTGTAAATATCAAGATTACGTAATTTCTTTTGCATCTTGTTAAGTTGAAGGTAAGATGTGATGTCTACAGTGAACCTATGGTACTTATTTGTACACAGGTAGGAGTATCACTGAGAAAATACGGCTTTTGGTGAGAGTAACGGCCTAGAATAAGTTCTCCAGGGTCTCGATATGAGAATGAACGTCGATATTTTTGTAAGAAAACACCGACTCAGCCAAAATTGTGTAATTGCGACCAGTACGACTACCATATTGATTGCACTTGTCTCAGGAAGCATCTCTGCTCCAATTTTTCTAGAAGTTATCTTAGTACTACTCAATGGCGCGCTTTCCATTTACAGCCCCATCCTTTCGTTGACGCAAAGCTTAAGCTACCTTCTCCTGTCTAACGGCTCTACCCTAACCTTAACCCGGGGAAGCGTCTCCGGTTGCTGATCCGGGGTTGCGCCATAGGACCTGCCATTGAACGCGTGATGTTGTAGCTACCCTCCGCTGTAGAGGCACTCTCTTCTCTGGGGGGGGGGGGGGGG